TGTCACTTGCTGGTTTCCTCAGAGTGTGTCCAATCCATCTCCATTTCTTCCTGCCTATTTGTTTCACGATCGGTTCCTGGTTGGTTCGCTCCCAGAGATCCCTGTTGCTGATCCTCTCCGGCCATTTGATCTTGAGTATTGAACGAAGGCATTTGTTAATGAAGGTCTGTAGCTTGTTTGAGCTGCTCTTTATGACGCGTTAGCCAAGTCTCTGATCCGTATAGTAAGTGGCACTGACTTCACATTGGAGTTGAAAATACGGATCTTATTTTTGACGCTGAATGCTGTTGACCTCCACATAGACTTGAGAGAAATGAAAACTTGTCTTGCTTTTCCGATTCTGGCTTTGATATCCTCGTCAGTTCCTCCTGTAGTTGAGACGATGCTTCCCAGGTAGGTGAAAGAAGTTGTTTCCTTCAGGTTCCTCCCATTTATGCTGATTGTTGTCGGTTGTTGCTGTTGATGTTGGCCAGACATTTAATTATTACCGGTATATTCAATGTCTTTGGAGAGATTATAACATAATTGTGTTGATATTTCCAAGAGTTAATTTGTAGGGATTCGATTTGTTTCAAGTCTGATCACCAGCTGATATCAGTTATAGAACCACTGAAAACCAACCAGGGAGTACAGGACAGCTGTTTTAACCTAGTTTGGTAATCTTCAGCAGTACGCACCACCGAAAGGGTTCAAACTCAGGATATTCCGGTTACAAGACGAGCTGTTAGACCATTCAGCCACTGGGACACGACTCATGTCGAGCATAAGAACAAATACTTGCCAATTACACTGGCTGTTGGTCGTGTGGCGCTAAAATGACGAGTTGGTGGAAGTTTGAATTCATGGGTCATTGGATCGGGGCCTTGTAATCACAAGATCGTCAGTTAGAACGCTGATGGGTGCGTACTGACAAAGAGGCTCAAACTAGAACGATGAAGCTGTCGAATACCCTCTAGGTTTTCAGTGGTCCTCTAACTGATATCATTCCATGATCACACCTGAAATGTTGCTATTGGTAGTCGATCACTAATCCTACCTGAGCTTTTGACTATCTATTACAAAGGTATGATAAATTAGAAAAGAGGCTTACTGACCCTCTTTAAGATTCGAGTTCAAGGTAGTGGAGAATAGAAGCTTGGATGGATTTTTCGGTGTGATTGTGTTCTGTGAGCTGGATAATTTTCGTCAAATTAAAGAATGATCTGGAGTGAATTAATGATTCTTACGAGACTTTTGCACATGCTAACAGTCTTTCTTACGTAAGAACTATGTAATTACCGATTTGTGTACAACTCAAACTCCAGCATCGTAACTGATAAACTACCTATGGCGTGAATATTCACTGTTTTTGGTGTCAAAGTACATCAAATAGGTAAGCTCCACTTAAATGCCTTAAAAATATCATTTCGGTGTTTTAAAAGATGACAGAAAATGGCCTACATATCCATTTTAGCAAACAGAACAAATCTAGAATTCACGTTAGATCAGGATCTGATTTTTCGACTTAGATAAGAGACTCAGTAAATAAAGTAGCCAGCATTCAATGTCGAAGCAAATCATATTTTATACCACAAAAAGACTGAGTTTCAACAGTTTGGTAATCTTCAGCAGTTCACATTCATGAAACCAGCCTTTCGACTTCTCTTCTCACTGAGACAGCATCCAATTTGAAATCAGTCAAACTCTTACAAACTAACCCTTCAAAATCTATCCAGAATGTTCTCTCTGTCATTATTCACCATAAAGTCACTTGGGATAATAATAAGAAGAATAGGTGGCTAACAGATATCAGTAAGCATGTACATAACGCCTACGACATCCTGACGCTTATCCACAACCCTCCCAGAAACACTCATAACATATTAGATGATTGGAGGCAATCAACAGGTTTCGTGCTAGTTGGCACTCCTCAGTCAGCAAGCCGTATCTACAGTCTTTAGAGAAATGATGTCCCTTCTGAGATTTGAACTCATATCACCCAGTGCCGTAGTCAGGAACATTGTATACTTGAGTGATAGAATTCAGTCTGCACCAAACAAAGGACTAGAGTCATTCAACTAGTTACTGACTAGTGTCCAATCAAAGTACACTCATAACATTTTTGCTATTTATATTATAAGCAAGGAAGTATGGAATTGTCAGTCTCCTTATCATTCGGTATGTTAATTCACGCATTTAACTAAGTGGTAATAGATAAGTGGCTAAAATTTGTGCTCAATTATATAATTAAGACGCAATATCTAATAAATTCAAGCATAAGAGTATTAAAAATCCTTTCAATTTGCTGCAAACTACAGATGATTCACAAACATCAACAGGATCATACTTAAAGTAGTCTGGTGGATGATGATTGAAAGTGAAGTCCAGACTGCAAATTTCGTCCCATTTGGGACTCATCAAGTGAACGTGCCTGTAGCCATTCTTCGAGTGATGACTTTCCCACTAAGGCTGAAACCCAGAACGCATCGTTTCAAACACCAAAGTGTCATCCACTAGACCACGTTTTCCGCGAGAGCCAGTTATCATTTGTTTTTCATTCAACTTTGAACTTCCCGTTGATTGAGTGAACGGAGATGTTCGCCACCTACTGACATAACTTAGGTAGTCTAGTCAGTAAAGCTTTGGTGTTTGAAACGATGTGTACTGGGTTCGAGCCTCAGTGGAAACACCATCACTCACAGAATGGAAGCAGGTAGATTCACTTGACGAGTCCCAAATAAGAAGAAATGCGCATCCTGTATCTCACTACTCGTCACTGCTCACCAGACTACTTGAATTCGATCCTTAAACATCTGTGAAGCGTCCATACTAGAAGCCGACATGTCAACGGAGACGGAACATCTCTGTCTAATCAATCAACGAGGAAATCAAAAGTGTATTAAAAATAAATAGTATCTTACTAAGGCTAGTAGTAAAATTGTCTAGGACAATGAAAAGGTTATTTCAGTTAAATTGGATACCTAGATGAATTTATTTTCGTGTTTACATGATACCATCAAGTTATCATGGTTAACTTCTGTTGGTCAGTGCAAAAACAGCATTCATTCTGCTGACTGCAATATATTTAAGTTGTAATCTTATTGAAGACAAACAACCAGTAGATTTATTCGCTACTTTCTATATTTTATTCACCATTTATTTGAATCGAATTAGTTGAATCTTTCTACAGTTATCTTAATATTATCGTCTGAGTCATTCTGGAGGTTCCTGAATGTGGCGGCCTGCTTAAATCTTGGGCTACCAAATACCTTAACTATTATAAATCATATTGCATCTAATTGCTCATTTCCAACTCATCTTAAATAATTAAATCTTATTCAAACATGACCTCTAATCGGATTATTTATTCTCGTGTGTATTTAATATCCTTAAAACCTACTAATCGGAATTATCATAAAAAACAACAAAAAAAGCATCATGCCGGGTGGCAAAGAGCCTTAAAAATACCCCTTTTCAATTTATGACTATTCCTGCAATTATGAGTACTAATTGTTGCTCCCTGCCAGCTAAAATTAACTGTCTTCAGTCACTCGTGTCTTCCATTATATATCGTAATACTGAGATCATATAACCTCAAGAAACATGGCTACATGATCTATATGATGACAATGCTAGTGTATCTGAATGATTTCAAATTATTCAGACAAGATCGGTGTAGTTCTAGGAAGAAACGTGGTGGCGGTGTCGCCATCTTCATCAATTCACAATGATGTACATCTAATAAATTATGTTTCAGATTCTCTAGTGACAATATTGACTGCCTCATCGTTAAATGTCGGCCTAAACATTTGTCGAAATATAACTACATATACACTTCGAACATTTATATTGCTCCTGGATGCAATTCCACAGAATTTCATGCTGAAAATTCCATACCTCTACCACAAATACTGTTTGGAATAAAGCTGTTATTAGTATTATTAATCTTCATCCAAGCATTAATGAAAGGAACAAAACAAAACAAATTCAGTGATGAAGAGACTCTTTTCGGCGAATTCAGTTTCTTCAACGATAAAAACGCATTTATTTACAATTGTTTTCATGAAAGAGGCTAATAACAAAAGTGATGAGTTCTCGTAATCAATTCTGGTACTATCCTGACTCATGATTAATTGTATATAAATGTGATTGTAAACCTAAAGAAAATGAATTCACGGAAAACAGCCAGTCAATGTTGTTAGTATCGAAGCAATGCCCAATGAGCTTGTATTTTTAAACTGGCTTTGTTTCCGTCGGAGATTACAATCCCTACTGTGATCTAGTTACTTGTTGTTCAGCAGAAAACTCGAGCGATACGATCAGAAACTTTGAAGCTGAAACATTCGAACTTTTAAATGTTTGAACCCGTAATGTTTTCAGACTGTAACTTTTTGCCACTGTTACCGTTTTTGTTTGTTGTAATTGTCTTGTCGTGATGCTTTAGTGTCAGGGGAACAACAAACAATCTACTAGTTGCCAATTTGTCTTCTGACATTTTCAAATTGGTTGCAGTTCATAGTTATCGGAGTTGAGTCAACTGGTCTTCTGGCAACAGCACCAGCACCAGTTGCAGGATCCATGGGTCGAGAGCTTTTAGAAATGGTACATTAAGACAGCATCTTCATCGCTAAACTACTTGTTCTGTTCCTTTCGTTCTCGAGACATCTATTGAAGAAATAAAATTTATCTTACTGGATATTCATTATCAATGTGCAGATGCTTTTCAACTGAAAGCAATAGAGAATTTCACTGATATCTATTGGGTTGGATGCAGAAAACATTTCACTGGTTCTACTGGTAATCATCACAAGAACTATCAAAAATATTCGATTTTTAACTATAAGAAAATGAGATTTCCTGATGTGCAAGTGAAATTCAGCAAGAATTATGTAAGAATGGACCATCAGTAGTACATCATGATTACCATTCGAACCCACGGTGTTATATATATATATATATATATACATATATATACATATATATATATAGTGTAATCAATTTACGAAAGATACATAACTTACATAGGTGTGCCAAGAAAAACTATGGCATCCCATTCAAACATATATTTCATTTGACCTCGAAGTTTTAATTTGCCTCGATTAGAGTCTGTTTCCTCTGATCCATTCTTCGTTTCACCATTGATACTATCATCTTAAAAATAGTAGATGGATAACAAATGGTCAGACAGCTGATACACACACACATATGTGTGTATAAGTGTATGGTGTGAAAAATGAAAATATATGAACAAAATATTTAAAAAAAACAACCTGACAGAACAATTAGACTGTTTGTTTACTAAAAATACTTTACTGTAGTGAATGATGTTCAGTTAAAATTTGCCGATCATTTATTTTTTTTTTGATAAATACACTAACATCCACTATTTATCTTTATGCCTATTTTTCAGTGCAATTAAGATGTTTGATAATTAATCACTCAGCCATCGACTGATATTTAAGTTATGGAGAAAATCACTGGCATCTTTTTGTAATTTTTTTAATGAGAAAAACTACTGAAAAATAGTGAAATTCACTACAGAATCACTTTCTATACGGACCAGAAACTTGCACTACGTGTCGTGGAAGGGATTTCCAACAAGTTAGGGGCTTTTCATCAATATCTACCACCTTCGCTGGCTGGCTCCATACTCAAGATTAAATGGTCAACGGGAAAGAACTGGCTATACGAAACTCTGGCAACAAACCAGCCAAGAGCCGATTGCTCAATAAATATGTAGGAGAAAATGGAGATGGACTGGGTGGCCGTCGAATGATATCGTGCTCAGTGCAGGTCATGGCTTGAGTGGAATCCCACTGGAGATTGACGAGTGGGTTGTCAGTGTGAGGGTGACATGGAAGAGATCGCGTGAGTTGGAAGAGGAGGAGATGAGGGATTATGGGCAATCGTGGGCGCAAGCAGATGAAGAGGACGTCAGAAAATAGAAAGAAGGGAAGTTGTGTTGCTGAAGCCATAAGTTCCACTTGGAACCCAGGGGAATAATAATAAAATATATATTACTGGATCACCTGACTTGCACCAAAATTCGTTTGATTGGTTTAAGTCTCGAAATAAAATATATACTAGAGATTGACTGATTGTTTGGAGACTACTCACTTCAACGAGCAGTGCTTACTACCCAGACCAAGATGAACTAGCTACAAACTACCGATCGATGTAGATGAGTAGCTGTATACTATTTGCACCAAACAGCAGTAATTATTAGCCATATCGAGGTGATCTAAACACCAGATGGCCGTTTTGCTCATTTGGGGCTGAGCTCATCAGCGGTTTACTCTCTTTCTGAACTAATTCAGAGAGCCAAATCAGTAGTTAGTTAAGAATTGGGTGGTCTGAACGAATTCGGGTCTCTGGGATGAGTCAAGCCGGGTACACCGCTGATGAGCTCTGCCAACCCTAAACGAAAGAAACAGCCGTCCAGTGTTTAGATCGCTTCAGTCTCGCTGGCTGACATGACTCTAAAACTCGGTTTTAATATTTTAAGCTTTTTTCTCTTTGTTTGCAAGCTTCTGGCTTTTCATAATACATATACAAATGAGGCTCCAGCGGCTACCACATATCTTCGTTATATTCGGTTAATTTTTAGAAGTCACTTTATTCACTTCTGTTGCATAACATCTAATAAAACATAAGTCTATCCTTTAAATACTGACTCTACTGTACGATTCCATATTTAACCATATAGTTCATTAGTGACAGAATCAATAAAAATGCAGGATATGGTGAGAATCCAGTTGCCTGATCTCTGTTACATTTGCCCTCAAAACGACCTAGTACGAAGCAGGGTCCTCCTCTGAAAATGCTTCCCCTATGTGGCTACGTGTTCATAGTCTATGAAAGTAAGTCCTACCCGCTGCCTTCACGCAGTGGTGTTCTTTTCAAAAGTGGAAGAGTGAATACGAATGTCTCACACTTACAGCCGGATCGGTGGATATGCAGAACTATCTAGGAGAGCTGGAAAACCCTGACATCATTCTGGTGATGTAAATAGGATCCAGAACTCGAATGGATTATGAACCTTTTTAGGTCACTGGTCTGTCTGTCTGTCTGTTTTCGACATAGAACTTTGCACATATGTGTGGCAGTTCAAGTCGCCACACTCCATGTAGCACACAAAGCAAGAGAAGAAAGTAGGAGAAATGCATAACATAGACAGTAAACAGAGGTGTGAGACAAAGGTATAGTAATAACGAAGAACAAGACAGTTTCATTGGAAATCATAAGTCACAAGGAGTGGATACATCTGCGCCTGCCATTGAGAACGATTTTGAGCCATGTCACCAATCGTTTCCAACCATTGGTTTTTACCGTCCCGAGGACCCCAACCAGTCAGGAAGTCTACATCTCCCTACGTGGCTTAGACTAACTGTTGTAGATTTCATTGACTGGTGCCATGTTTTCGTTTGACCGCCGCTAGCTCTTTTCCAGCCTGACCCTATATCAGCTAACATTGCCCATTGTCGAGGAAGGCGATGACTAGGCATACGTAATACATGTCCTAACCATCTCAGTCGATGTAATTTCACAGTTTCGTCGATTGATTTCCCCTTCTCCTTACCTAGCACTTGACGCCTAACCTCAATATTGCTCACCTTATTATACCACCTCTCACGGGAGATAGAACGCAGACACCTGTGATCAAAGACAACTAAACTTTTCATGTCTTCCACTCTTAATGGCCAGGTCTCACAGCCATAAAGGAAGACGGGGCGGACCGCTGAGCAGTACACACGCCCTTTGGTCAATAGTCGGATATCACTTTTAGGTCACTGGAAATAATGGGAACGCCACTCCACTACCTTATGCATCAGACTTCAAGTCAAAAACTTTGGGATAACTCCTCAATACAACCACCTGCTTCAGTTTGGGCGTTCAGGTGATATCCCAGCCGTCAGCAGTCGTCCTGGTGTCCATAATGTACCAAGTCTACGTTTCAATAAATAAATAGGAATAACTCCACGAGCAGTATCAACATTAGGTTAACCATCTTAAGCACATGAGATATGCTTGTAATTGAGATAGCTAGTCTCTAATATCTGAGTCACACGAGCCATGTCTCATACATGCGTAGTGAATTTTACCTGAAATATCATCCAGGAAATAATCCTATATTACTGCTAACATCTACAGCTCGAGATCTAAATTCTTACAATACATGCTTTATCTAATACCTAGCTATCCAAAATCGCAAATATTACATACACTTACTGTATGATATTTTTTAACTTTTTTTATTCGTTTACGTTTCCAGTGGAACATAAAGCTTCAAGCTAGAACCTCATACCCAACATCCACCCTTTTGAGATTATAACCAGATAAGGTAGGTTAAAGGTGTGCGCTGGCCGGGATTCGAAACTCGGACCATGTGTATGGTCGGCCATCACTCTACTGCTGAGCCACCAACGCACTACACATACTGCAGGTAACTACTATTTTTTAATTCATTTTTGATTCCTCCCGTTAACTGATTAGACTCAGATATCTGGTCTCTGCTGACATATTAGCTCATTGCCCTGATGCTTCGATGATGTCTGAGGAATAATTTGAAGTAATTTCGGCGGATGGTAACAAGCAGTGAACTCATCATCAGTATGTACTTTCAATGCCCAATGATTGATGCTGTTCCCACAGAGACTCAAACCCAATTCCAAACGTTACAAAAGCCAAAGCGCTATCCACTAGATTACTTAGCCCACAAAAGCCACCACTTTTGCAACGGATGTCAGTCATTATTTAATCCTGAGTTGAATTTTAATCTCTCCATTGACTGACTGGACTTAAATGTTTGGTCTCTGTTGGAGTCTCAGTAAGAACACGGTCACTCATTTCGGGATACAGATGCATCTAGCTGAAGAGTTCCAAATAGAAAGAAATACGGACCATGAATCTCACTGCTAATCACCATCCACCAAATCCCTTACTGTAGTATTGCAAAAAATCTCTATGTACCTTTAAATGCGTTATCCAACCACCTTAATCGGTTATACGTGTTCAATATACAGTTGTGAAGATAGTTTATTAGGATAACAAATATTGAATGAAGTACATACAGCTTGATATTTTATAAATTCAATTAAATAGCTGCTATGTAATATTATTAGGGCGAATAACAATTATTTATGACTTTATAGGAATCGACAAACAAAAAAAAGCAGATACAATATGACCATTTATCAATTTTTAACTAAAACAGATGTTAAATAATCATCTTTTATTTTTGAATAAAAATAAAAAAAAACAACTTAAAACAAGATCTTTTATTTAGGTATACTCTTCAATGAAAACAAGATTGAAAATATTCAGTTCAAGCATATGATCTAATTACATACATCGTGTTTAGAGATTAATTGGTCATTAGAAAGTAGTGAATATATATCCATTATTGTCCTACAATAGATCAATAACGACCTGAATAATTCCTATGTAACACCTCTGAATGCAGTACTGCCTAATGCCAGTTGGAATCTCCTTAACGGGGAATCAAGCCCTTCGAGGTTTATTAAACATCATGATGGCCTGTGACAGTAAGCATGAATTTTATGCCCAAAAATGGATATCGCCAGGTGTGACAACATTTCTTCACTGATAATACTGGATTACAATAATACTACTTCATAGTTCTTCAGAAGTTGGATAGCATGAGCAGTCGCCTTCTCAAGTGTTGACCGAAATTCAATTTATTTTTTATTTTTATTTTAATCCTTTGCATTCCGAATGAAACATGGTGCTTCAAGATTGAGGTCTGTGGTTTCAATCGCGGTAATGTTTACTTTTTATGAGATGTGGTCGCTAGCCACACGCCCAACCTTCCCTTTTTACCAGATACACTCCTAGCTAAGCGCAGTTAAGCAGTGATTCGGCCGGGGAATGAACTTCGGACCACATGGAAGGTTAATGACTATTCTACCACTGAACTCCCGGCGCAAAATTGGTCCTTTATTTGATCCTGGGACAAGACACCATTTAATTTCACACTGGTATCTACAGATTCTCCAACTTATGTTGAGAAATGTTCAGAGAGTTGATTCACTTTTTTACGAAGGTTTCTGATATATTGTTTTTTCAAATCTTAACAACATCTAGTGAAAGTTGGTGTATAGGCAAATGAAAAAGACGTTGTGGATGGTACATCATTTTATCCTCCTAATTTTGTTCTCCTATGCTTTCCCTACAAATGCACTCTGGATAGACATACGGGCGGAATAGCGCCAAGAGTTTAAAATTTCTTCTCTGAACTCTTAGTCAGTTCATTCAAGTTTTTTAAGGACATCCTCAATTCCTAACCGAAGTGTAATTGGTAGTTATTGGGTATTTATATTGCTGAATTCTATTATCGACATAATTAACAGTGTTGAGGTCCACAATGGAAAACTCAGCGAGGCGTTTAAAGTGAGTACAGGAGTAAGACAAGACTGCCTGGCTTTTATCATCCACGATGATATTCTTAATTCAGGTGGACTGGATTATGCGGATGACTCAGAATGACAGTGAGAAGACAGGAATATGCTGCACTAACTGATAAGAAGACTCTAGAAGAAATGGATTTCGCAGACGATTTATGTCTAGCGTCACATAAACTCGAAAACTTACAGGCGAAAATCAAAAAAATGGCTGAAGGGGGAGGCAGCGAAGACAGGACTACCGGGAAACATAGAGAAGACGGAAGTGATGAAAATAATCAACCAACCAACAGCGACAGAACAGATGAAAATGTCAAAGCCAGCCAGTCACAATCGGAAAGACAAGCAAGATACGCCTTCATCAACCTGAAACCAGTTGGGAAATCATCTATACTCCGCCACAACATACACAACAAGATTCGCATTTTTCAACACGAATGTCAAGTCGCTCCTTCTATACAGGTCTGAAACTTGCACTGCGCGTGCATCAAGAAAATCATTTCCAATAGGGTCCTGTAGACTCCTCTAAACAGATGCCTCCACTGGCTGGCTGCATACTGAAGATCAAATGGCAGGCCGACCGGCCAGACATAATTAGCAACAAGAAACTCTGGGTGGTGACAAACCAACCAAGAGCCGACTGTCCAACAACTATGTTGGAGTCCATGGAGATAGATCTGGCGTATGTTGAGGAGGCTGTTGAATTACATCACGCGCAATGCAGGCCATCGTTTGAGTGGAATCCCTATGGGAAGCGACAAGTGGGTCGTCAGTGTGAGGGTGACATGGAGAAGATCGTGTGAAGAAGAGATGAGGGAGTTTGGGCAATCGTTGGCCCATCTGAAGAGGATGGTAGAAAACAGAAGAACGTGTAGATGTGTTATTGAACTCGTATGTTCTACTCGGAACCCAAGGGAACAATAATAATAATAATTTAATTAATAAACTACGAGTACGAAGACTCATGAAGCAATTAACCCACACCTACAGACCACTGTCAGGCTGGAGCCAAAGTAAATCTTCTGGAAAAATCACGAATACCAGTAGGATGTATAAGAACACAGTAATTTCAAAATAATACACGGCAAAGTTAACATTACCTCTTCGTACTTCAATACTTGTTAACTCGAATATGATGTTTGTATGCAGCATAACCTGAAAATGGAATAAAATTACAAAATTTAAATTATACTATTAACTAAGTAATTAAGTAGCTTATATCAAATACTCAATTACATGCATTAGTGATTTCAAGTGTATATTTATTTTTGTCCAATAGACAAAAACAGTCGTTATCTCTTTGACATTTGACAGCTGAGAATACGAAATATCTAAGAACCTTTATTTTCAACCTCATTGTTCTTGAGTGATTTTATATTCTACAATTTAATGTTTAAACAGTTTGATGTGAAAAGTCTCCATGATTTCCATTATTATTATTATTATTATTATTATTATTATTATTATTATTATTATTATTGTTCCCTGTAATTCCTAGAGGAACATACGGCTTCAGCCGTGCGTCTCCATTGCGTTCGGTTCTCTGCTAGAGTCTTCACCTGGCTCCATGTCTGCCCACACATTTTCATCTCCTCTTCACACGACCTCCTCCAAGTCACCCTCGCACTGACGACCAACTCGCTGCTTCCCTTTCGGGTTCCACTCGACCAATGGCTTGTCTAGTGATGTCACTTGATGTTTTCCTAAGAGTGTGGCCAATATAACTCCATTTCTTCCTGCCTATTTGTTTCACAATCGGTTCCTGCTGGGTTGGTTCGCTTCCAGAGATCACTCCCTGTTGCTGATCTTTTCTGGCTCGCCATCTGATCTTGAGTATTGAGCGAAGACAACTGTTGATGAAGGTCTGTAGTTTGTTTGAGATGCTCTTTATGACGCGCAGTGCAAGTCTCTGATCCGTATAGTAGCACTGACTTCACATTGGAGTTGAAAATCCGGATCTTATTTTTGAAGCTGAGTGTTGTTGACCTCCACACAGACTTGAGAGTAGTGAAAGCTTGTCTTGCTTTTCCGATTCTTGCTTTGATATTCTCGTCAGTTCCGTCTGCCTGTAGTTGGAACGATGCTTCCCAGGTAGGTGAAGGAGGTTGTTTCTTTCAGGTTCCTCCCATTTATGCTGATTGTTGTCAGTTGTTGTTGTTGTTGCTGTTGGTGGTGTTGTCCAGGAATCTTCATCACCACTGTTTTCTCTATGTTCACCTGAAATCCTATCTTTTCTGGATGCTACTTCTCCCAACTTGTTGCTTTTCGCAAAAATATCCATTTTGTACTATGTGACCCATTTCGTACTATAAATACCATTGTGAAATGAAGCAAAATTTAGTGACTATATATACATATACATATATATACCACCAGTTCTGCAAGTAGTTAACCTGAATTATGGGGTTGTTTACTGATTTGCCTGATTGAACTTGATCAGTCTGGATACATCATTGATGAACTCGACTCGAAACAATTGAAATGGATTCTGTGAGTGCTCTTCAACTAATGCTATCACTCATTAGTGTATTCCACGTCGTGGTATCCTTATTAATCTAAGGCTTTTTACTCCAGATTGCTGTATTGATTTACGAATTTCTTTTGCTACATTTTTTTCATTTCTGTTATTGATTTTACTGTTTTATGTGTGTGTGCGGAGATAAAGTTGAGCTGTTACCACCTGGATACTAATAACATTTCCTGTACTATTGAAATATGTTCTTGGTTTTTCTGTTGTTACCAATGAGTTAGTATTATCAGTTGTATTAATGATGCTCACGTTCCATTCGTTTGATTGGACTTGATAAAGTGTAGCATCATGTCACTCTCAACTTTGTTGACTTTACTAGTAGCAGTCGCCCTCAGAAATTATTAGAGATGAGAAATGCACATGGTTACACTATTATTATTGTTCCCTTGGGTTCCTAGTGGAACATAGGGCTTCAACTGCATGTCTCCACTTGCTTATCTCTTCTGCTGTACTTTTCACTTGCATCCATGTTAGTCCATTCTGTTTCAACTCTTCTTCACACGATTTCCTCCATGTCATCCTTGGACGTCCAACTCGCCGCTTCCCTTTCGGGTTCCACTCGAGCATTGGCCTGACGCGCGGTGTCACCCAACGGCCTCCTCAGCGAGTGTCCAATTCATCTCCACTTTCTCCTGCATATTTGTTGAGCGATTGTTTTGTTCTTGTTTTGTTTGTTCCCATAGTTTCTTGTTGGTGATTCTTTCCGGCGGCCATCTGATCTTGAGTATAGAGCCAGCGAAGATAGTTAGTTGTTGATAGAGGTCTGCAACAGGCTGTTGGAAATATTCTTTGTGACCCGCCAAGTTTCTGATCCGTAAAGCAAAACTGACTTGACGTTTGTATTGAAAATCCGAATTTTGTTGTTGATACTGAGTGACGAAGATTTCCAGATTGGTTTCAGGTTGATGAATGTGTTTCTCGCCTTCCCGATTCTCGATTTCACGTCGTCGTCCATTCCTCCTGTAGTTGAGACAATGCTCCCTAGATGAGTGAATGAAGTAACCTCTTTCAAATGCCTCCCGTTGATGGTGATTGGCGCTGGATGTTGCTGCAGTTGTTGTTGTTGTTGTTGGTTGGTTATTTTCATAACCTCCGTCTTGTCTATGTTCACCTGGAGTCCTGTCTTTGCTGCCAGTCTCTTCGACCAGTTTGTCAGTTTTTGCTAGTAAGTCTTCGATTTTGTGTGACATCAAACATAAATCACCCGCGAAATCCAGGTCTTCTAGGTTCTTCATGTCGGTCCAGGATATCCCTGTCTTCTTGTTTCCCACTGTCTGATGACGCATAATCGAGTCCACCACAATTAGGAATGTCATTGGTGATAATAAGCACCCTTGTCTGACTCCTGTGTTTACTCCAAATGCTTCGCTGAGTTTTCCGTTGTGGATCACTTGACATGTGCCGTTGTCGTACAGCTGTTGAATAAGGTTGATGAATATTTGGGGTACGCCGTAGTACTCGAGTAGTTTCCAAATTACTTCGCGGTCAACGCTGTCGAACGCCTTCTCAAAGTCTATAAGGTTGAGGTAGAGGTTTGATTGCCATTCCATGCTTTGTTCTGTGATGATGATGCGTAGAGTTGCAATTTGGTCAGAACATGATTTACCTTTCCTGAATCCAGCTTGTTCTGGTCGGAATTCTGTATCCAGTGTGTCTTTTATTCTCTCCAGGATGATGTGGCTCAGGATTTTACTTGGCGTCAACAGGAGCATGATTCCTCGCCAGTTCTTGCAGAGTCCTAGGTCGCCCAGAACTTTTAATATGTTTGTGCGTTGAAGTTTTTGTAGCAATTTGGTTTTGGGGGTGGAGTTTCTAGCACCACGCCTCAACCCCCCCCTCTTTATCGGGGCTTGGGACCGGCTAGAATACTAGTGACCTAGTAATCTAGGCGAATGGATGCGTAGTGCCGATAAGTCCTAAACTGGGACGAAACAGCTATCCAGTATTCCCTGCTGGTTTTCAATGATTCTTTGACTGATATCAATCCGTGCTGTAACCTGAAATAAATTTAATCCCTACAAACCAATTCTTCAAAATTAAAACAATCAAATTACTAATTAGCCAAGCTACAAAGTCTTTTAACACTGAAGAAGAAATAAGGTCAAATGGAATAATAAATTATTTACATATCACTAGATTACATGTTCATCAATATACAGAGGTGGATATCTTTTCTCATGTATAGATTTAATGCGTAAAGTAGATTACTACTGGGAAAGAGATATATCTATTTCCTATTGTCAATGATTTTTAATTTCTATGTTCTAGTTAAACCTAAGCTATGTATGTATGTAAGTACACACTTATTAATTAGGTAAGAAAATGATATTATCCATATTCGAAATTGGTAACCATAGCAACCATAGTAACTTATTTATTGATTCACTGTAGATAATAAACAAGGTAGTAAATGAAGAATATTGCTTCGTATAGAGAAATGAGTAGTTATTGTTGTATAACAGTCGAAATATTCAATGAATAAATGAATCTTTACAATGATAACGATGAACAAAATAATTCCTTTTTGTTGTTGAAAATTTGACCCACAAAAGTAATTTTAATGCGATATGCATTATAGTGTATAACATTATTTGGTTTTCCTTTTCTTCCTTATTTTGTCTTGTCTTGCCTTGTACTTCATTGTTATTGTCATTGAAGAAGGAAAAAGGTTTTTTTTCCTTTGGGTGTGGTTATGATTGTAGATAATTTCAAGTACACGTAAACTGCTTTATTCATTAAGATTCTAAACACTGTTTTCCAATCTGTGCCATGTTCCTCTGAGTCTGTCATACACACACATACATGAACATACATGTGCGAAAATGAGATTACATGTGTTCACTTTATTGATACTAAGTTACTTCTGTATTCATTATTTGTTCAAAATTTTTGAACTAATTGTTATTATTGTTCCTTTGGATTACGAGTGGAACATTCGGCTTCAAAAACCTCTTCAGCTGGGTCCACGATTACCCAAACTCCCTCATCTCTTCTTCATGTGATCTTCTCCATGTCACTCTTACACTGACGAATCACCCGAAGCTTCCCATTGGGATTCCACTCAGGCGATGGCCTGCATTTCCTGCGATGTAATTCAATGGCCTCTTTAGCCATCGTATGCCAGATCCATCTCTATGTTCTCCAGCATAGTCGTTGAGCAGCCGGCTTTTCGCTGGTTTGTCGCCAGCCAGAGTTTCATGATGCTAATTCTTTCTGGCCATTTGATCTTGAGTATGAAGCCAGTCAGCGAAATGGGTAGCCGTTTATAAAAGTCTACAGGACCCTGTTGGAAATCCTTTTCGTGACTGACACGCAGTGCAAGTTTCAGACCCGTATAGAAGGAGCGACTTGACATTTGTGTTGAAAATCCGAATCTTGTTGTGTATGTTGAGGCGGAGTGTGGATGATTTCCCAACTGGTTTCAGGTTGATGAAGGCGTATCTTACTTGTCTTTCCGATTCTGACTTTGACATCTTCAAATGTTCTATCGTGTGTGGTTGAAACGATGCTTCCAAGATAAATGAAGTCAGGAAGTAATCTCTGTTAAATCTCACCCGTTGATGGTGGGTGACTGGTGCTGGTTGTTGTTGTGGTTCGTTAGTTATCTTCATCATCTCCGTCTTCT